AGACTGTTTCATAAAAAAAAAATTGATGCACAATACCTCATGTAAGGATTCATATAATGTCCTGACCTGCACCAATTTGGGTTTATGAGGGGGGTGGGGTTGACTTTGGGTTTACTGCAAAAAAAAAAAAAAGATCTCCAGAGGTTGGCTTTTCTGCACTTAATAAGGCTGGTGACCTTTCTTTCTTGACCTTATGTCTCTTCTTGCATAAAAACTTCCTAGTAACCAAAATATGTATCTCACTTGGATTCAGTCTGACAAGTACAAATGCAATTATGAAAGGAAAAATACTCTTTGTTGATTTAAGAGAGTCAATACCAGCAAGGGATGATATTGATGTTGCTGTTGCAACTATATTCATCAATATTTCTTGTTTAAGCCCAGGCCCCAAACTTAAAAAAACCACCATTACAGTCTTCCCCTTGTGTTCATCTTCAGTGTTGAAATTTTACTTAACAATAAATGCAGACATGTCACTAGGAAGTAAGCTCAAAGTTAACCTTAAGTAGATGTGTTGATTTTACAATTCATGTCAAAGGAAAGTAAAAAAAAAACTGTTAGGGAAACTTAACCAGGAGGGCCCAGTTGTGCAAAAAGTAGATAATGCTATCCACAGGATAAATTAATCTCCATCCAGTGCATAGTGCAATTGGTTCACTAATATTTACCCCCTGGTTAGTGTTTTATCCGGTAGATAGTGCTATCCTACATTTGAACAACTGGGGCCAGATAATAAGTTATTAATTTTGATTTGCAGGTGTTTAGACCCAAGACTCCACCAGAAGCAATCAGCCTCTGTAGTAGATTACTAGAGTATACACCATCAACAAGACTCATACCTGTTGAGTCATGTGCTCACTGCTTCTTTGATGAATTGCGCGACCCCAATACAAAACTTCCAAATGGGCGTGAGCTACCTCCACTTTTTAATTTTACCCCTCAAGGTATGATAAACACATTCTGGTAATCAGTCTGGTAGGAAATTTAGGTCTGTCCTGGATAACGATGCTCTGTATATGTATCTAAAATATCTGAAATACCTCAATACTGCAGTCTAAAATACGGTGGAACTTGTATAATTATTGCAAAATACCCTGGAGGCTTTGGAATCTGGCTGCTAAGCTTAAGGCTGCTTCATATAAGATAACTAAAGTAGTCACTAGGCATGGCAATTGCCAAAATTTAATGTCTATTTTAATGGTGTATTGTACAACAAACCCTCCATTATTTTTAGGAAATGGCCAGACAGGCAATCAATACTTCCAACAATGTTGCTTACTTTCACTGTACATACATGTATTTCTTTGCCTTAAAGTTCACAACTTTTACATGTAGAGGGTATTATATGGCCACGCAGAGCCTCAAAAATTCAGACTCTTAGAGTGTTGAAATAATTATGTTTCTACACGGATTCATTTTTCAATTCATTGATGGAATCTGTGGGGCCATGCTTTACCTGACATGACTCAGTGTAATATAGGCAACAACTACCATTTTTGTATCTACTAAATATCAGCACTTTGAAAATGTTCTAATTTGAAGAGGGCTGTCATTAAATTTTCATACAGCACTGTTACATTCAGGTTTCTCTCATACTCTCCCTGTAAGGTTACCCTGCAAGCAGAGTCTCCTTCAATCTTCCTAAAATGCTAAGATTCGTAATGTAAGGCCACCACATGTAAGGGATCCAAGACAGTCTTGGAGTTTGGATTCCAAAGTCCAGCATTCCACAATCCCCAAGCAAAGTGTCCCTGATTCCAGGTTCCAGATCCCAGAGATGGGGTGAGCCCACAGTTTACCATTTTTTTCTTGTCTCCTCTCACAGAGTTATCAGTGAAGCCATCTCTGGCCTCTACCCTCATACCCTCCCATGCCCAGAGAAATTCTGCAGCAGCTAGCTCCAGTGCCTCGGGGACATCTTCAAATCCAGGCCCTGCAGTTGTTGATGGAGCTGTGGCATCTATTTCCACACCAGTCTCCTGAAGGAGAGTCAGTGAACATTTGTGTCTATAGAGGCTGCATTGGGAGTTGACCTTGTACAAAACAAACAGAAGTTCAAATTTGTCTTGTAAATAGTGTCACAAATTGAGTCATGAATGTTTTAGCATGTATTTTGAAAGTGCACCAGTTTGCCGTCGTGTTTGAGTCTTAAATTTTACTTTTCCACCCCCTGCTATGTACAAATCTTTTCTAATTACAACACAGCAATTCACTGACTTATCATTAATAGCAGATCAAGTGCATTATTTCTTATTGTTTAAAGTTAAGTTAGCCTGGTAATACCTTCACCCTTTCCACACAAAGAAAGTGTTGAACCATATTTGAAATGTTATTTATTTCATTAAAATTTTACCTACCCTTTTCTTACATTCAAACAGGTTCTTCTTAGTGTGGCTGACTTTTCTTATTCACCTTTATTACATTGGGCTGTTTTTAGGACTAAAAGGGCAGTTTTATTTTCCAATGTATATGAATTGTTCAGAGCAAAATTCAACATTTTTAAGGCTACTAGGTGCATTTCAGCGATATCGATACACTTTTGTACTTAAATAGAAAAGCACTGGCGAGAAATTAGTTACAAAAATCATTTTGACAGGGGTTAAAATTGAATCCTTTAGAACACATTAAGTGTGGTACTGGATAATGTATTTATACTGACAGTACCAAAATTAATATTTAAATAATGTAATACCAATGTAAAATATGTTCCTCTTAACTTGAAGCCAAAGGTCACCCCCTACCTGGCTGTAGAAAAAAAAAACTTAACAGTTAATATTTGAGTCTGTATAGAATTTTATGGGCTTGTAAATTTAAGCAATTTTATTTGTTTCTTCTTTTATGTGTAAAATTTATAATCTACTCTTGTACACTTCCTGTGAGCATTCTGACATGATAAAGCATGAAAATGATTGTCATGAGCGTTTATTTTGAATGACACCGTGATTTTTTATTTTTTGCTTGGGCAGAAACACAACTAGTGTAGAAAAGAGACAGAACCTCCAGAGAAAAAGAAAATTGGTTGGAAATCTAGGGTTGCCTGCTGGAAAACTCTCCGCTGTGCTCTAGCTCCCCCCACCCCGTACCCCCGAGAGAGCTTGCTAGCAGAGGTTCGAGAAAATAATCAGGAATCTAATGTTGTTCCGGAAGAATACTCTACAGTGGGTTACTTGGAGAATCCTCCCATCTCTTTTCCAGAGATTTCACGGCCTTTCTCAGGGGTTCAGCAAATGGGGGACGCGCAAAGAAATGCGAGCAGGAAAAAACAGTTAGGGAGGAGAAGGAAGGGCTACAGGAAGTTCCCTCCTCTCTCTTGCTGTTTTTTTTCCTCCGCTCTTCTTTTCGCTTCACCCTCCACTACCTAAATGCCTGGAACAAGCAAGAGATTTCGAGGGTCTCCCTTTGTTTGTTGAGAGTCCGGTGGGGTGGGGGATTCCCCTGTCAAAGGGCGCGTGGAGGAGGTCGCCAGCCCCCTCATGGAGAGATCTAGGCGTGGCTGTAGCTTGACCCCCAAAAACTCCGAAAAAAGAAAAACCCAGTTGAGAGCTATGGTAATCTTAACTTTGATGCAGGAGTTTTCGAAGAATGATTTTTTCTTTCCCTCTGCTCCTTGAAACACAGCCGTTAGCGATGTCTGTTCCATGAGAACAAAGCTTAACTTTGTCACAACAGCTCTTTTGTTTTCAAAATGTTGAAGCCGTTTTGCCCGCTCCCTTAATTTTGTTGCACTTGCCCAACTCAATGTATCTTTACCTTTTTCTTTGGTGGGGAATACTTAGTCTACTAGTTGTCCCTCAATTTCCTTGAAAATAGTAGAGAAATCGACATCGCCTTCGCCTCGCCATCCGCGAGGAAAGTGCCAATCGCAAGGGATTCCTTCCCCGTGTCACCTCGCGCACGGGGAGACGATTTTGGCGCGCGCCCTTGTAGTTCGCTCGAGAAACTGAGGGTCCACTTACTTGTTGTCAGGGCGGCCCCTGTTGTTGTCAAGGCTCTGCTGTGTCTCGGTATGGTCTGAACAAATGTAGTGACAAAGATGTAACCTTTTAACCGGGGCTGTTATTTTAGCTTTATTTTCAACATTTTCATTAATGACTTGAATTTCTGTGTTCCTAATGTCTCATTGCCGCTGTACGCTGATGACATGACTGCCTACCTGTCAAATGTACTCCTCCCACCATTATAGAATTTTCCTTCAACAAAGATATACAGACTCTTTCGTCGTGGTTTGAGTCTAACCATTCAACACTGAACAGCACTGAGACTCAAGCATTATCACCTATTATCTGTCGGTTGACACTTTATTGTCGGAAAGTCGAGTCTACTGAAGAAATGGCAAACTTCGGCGATTATCCGGGAGATTTCACACTTTAATCTGGATACTGGGAGATTCGGTCAAAAATCTGGAGCAGGGGCGGAGGGGGTGCACTTGTCTCTTGCTCTACTTCAATAGTTCTAATTCAATAGTTTTTATTTTTATTTTTATTTTTATTATTATTTTTTTTTTGCAGCATACCAGTTGCATAAGAAAACCGCAGGTCATCTCATGGGGGGGGTGGGCACCCCCTGCACCCTCCCGCTAGATCCGGCCCTGTGGAGTCTCCCGGATTCAATATCCGGGAGAGTTAACAGCACTGCCTAAGCTGCGAAACTCACGAATGACGTAAAACAATGAATACAAAGAAGCTACTGAGAAGTCAACACAATAGAGCCAAGGAAAATAATAGCTAGAGAACAAAGAAGAACTTCACAGGTTTTTACACTGATCTCCCCAGAACACTTTGGGAGACTATAGGGGGTGCAGGGGGAGGGGCTGGTATATGAAGCACTTTTGATTTTCTGGCTCAAAGAACGCGGGCTCAAGAAAGATGGCGGGTGGCTCAAAGCCAAACTTAAATATTGTGTGGGTTTCCTCTTGTGTTGCGTCTGGTTTCAATAATGAAGGCTGCACTGGAATAGAGAAGTGAAGCAGACAACGCTGAATTATAAATTTATCTGTAAAAATGACATCGGATGCCTCTCCGTTGTGTTGTTGTGAGTTCCAAAACCTTCATGGCCAAAGATCCCATATCCTTGCATTTTGTTGTGAATGTGATGAGCTGGACAACGCAGTCGATCAGTGCCTTAAAGGAAACAGAGTGCCAAGAGAGAAAGTGGCTGCAGTATTCTCGGTTATTTCCGATCGCATTCGCATTCCTTGGTTTAATGGTGCTCTCAAAATAGAGCTCGGAATCATTGCTCCTGTTTTAGTTTTAATTGTTACTCTTCACGTTGCAAGTTATGGACTTGTTTTCACTGTTCTAGCAATGGTCCACCTACCTGTATTTATTCTTATATATACTTTCTCTGCGCTGAACCGACGAAAGAGGACTTGGTTCTTTGTAAGCTGGGTTTTATCATCTCTAATTGGTATTTTTTACCTATATCTTCTGAATGTTGCTCCTTTCTATTCTTATACCATCTCTGCAATTATTTCTGCCGGCTTTTGTGTTGTATTACTACTATACCTGCGTGTTATCTTTTCAAGAAGGCTCCTTGCCTCTCATTCCCTGATTTCTAAATCATCATCCCAGAATGGTCCAAACCACATGTCTTCAAGTCTGAAGGACCTAACGTGCTGTTTATGTACTGAGGGGCCATTCATTAGAGCAAAACACTGCAGGTAGAGTACAAGCAGCACTAACTTACATGGAAACCCTAGAGTCCACAAATTAGTGTCCTTAATAACGAGATGCCATAATAGAGAGGGGAATTGATGACATCGCAAAAATTATGGGGTTGGTTAGCATATCCAGAAAAAACAAGATGAAAAAATGGTCATGTAGTAAAAATCAGCCTCTTAGTGTAAATTGCTGGGGAGATATAAGCATTGTTATGCTCTAGTGACTCCACATGAATACTCCCATACTAGGCTTTGATCATAAGTGTTATGATCCAAGTCAATTTTTGAAGGGTTTGTATGGAATCATCGAAGCTTAACCATGCTTAGATCTCCCCACCAATTTGCATTGACAGGCTGATTTTTGGCAAGAGGGCTTTTTCATCTTGTTCTTTCTGAACATGCCAACCAGTCCCATAATTTCACAAATATAAAATATGAATTTTTGTGACGGCAAACTTCTTTACTCTATAGCAGGAGTTTATTTTGGTCAAACATCTGTAATTTACTTTTGCTCGAGATTTAGCTACTGTCTGTATTATAGTGGTGCACACAAAAGCAAGTTGTCAGCATGGTGATAGTTGACTGTAAAAACCATTACAGTGGAACCTTGATATAATGAACGATTTTCTCTACCCCAGTAGCAGGAAAAAAATATCAAAAAGAACCTCGACATAACGAAACCTCATTATAACAAACAAATTTTTCCAGTCCCTTGGCCCTTCGTTATATCAAGGTTCCACTGTATTATGTCCTACTTGTCAAATTTACATGGCATCTCAGTTGGCCACTCAAGTTCACATCTATTTGACCTTACTACCTGTGTCCCAAGATTGCTCACTGGTGTAAAAAACTAAACACACTTTCTTATTCCCACTGAAGAAGAAAAACAGATGAGTTTTCCATGTCCTGAAACACCTACTGCCACATATGTGTCCAACTATGCTTTAAGGTGGTAACTGCTATGTGTTTTTTGTTTTTGTTTGGTTTGGATTTTTTTTCCTGCTGATCCTGACTAAGACCATGGAACCTACAGCTATAAATGTGGCAAAATAATGAATGAGTTGAATGGTAGTTATACCCTTAATAAAAATTATTAATACTTGACAGTGCATAGTGTAATGTGACTCTTGTCTTGAATAGGATTTGTGGCTACTGTGTTCCAAGATCTGATCATCATTGTGTCTGGTGAGTGATATTATGTGATTGAAATATTATACAACTATCCCCCGAAGGGGAGGTGAATAGTGGGGGATATATAGCGAGACACAAAACGTCAAGGTATATATCTAGCGCTGTGAACCGACCCTGAGGGGGATTTTTTTAGTTGTTTTACTATTTACAAATCAGTTGGAAAAAATAAAAAAGTAACATTTTGTAAATAAAAAGAGACTCCTATAAAGTCTGGGAGTGTTTTCTGGGAGTATTGGGAGAAGAGAAAATGTAAATGAAAAACAACGAAATGGAAGAAGAGAGCTTTTAGCTGTGATTGGGATCTTTGTGATGATATAACATGTGATATTCAAGAGGAGCTTTTGGGTAAAACTGTTTTAAAAATCTTGTATCATTGCAGGACAAACTGCTGCATTGGCCAACACAATCACCGGGCATTTCTCGGAGCCATCTTCTTATTTATTGTCACTGGTCTCTGGGGTGTCTATCTTTCCTTTTTCACTATCTGTAAATCTTTGAGTGGAAAGATTCTCCATTTGGATTGTTCAGATGTCTATTCAGATTCCAGGTAAGCTTCCTTGAATAGTGCCATTTTAGCCACCCATACCTTATTAGTGATGAGAGTCTCTAGCTGCATGCATGCACAGGGCACAGTGATAATTTAACCTTGATTTCAGTTAAATAAAATTTTGCGACATGAATTGGCCTTATTTATTGTAGAATATATATGAAAATGACTAATTGAAGCAATATTCAGTCTTGATCAAATTTGATAAAGAATTACCCATACATTGGAAGCTGCTACATAAGAAAATGATATTTTTTTAACTTAGGGGCTGTTTACATAGAGGTAGAGGACCCTAGGTAGGTGAGGTAAACCACTTAGGCAGGGCTAATTTCCCGCCTGTCAGTATAATCTCTCATATGGTCACCCCACCTTTCATGTTAAGGTGATGAAATTAAAATGAGAGATTATTTTGACAGGCAGGTTACCCCACCTAAACAGGTTACCTCACCTACCTGGGGTCCCCCACCTCCATGTAAACATGCCCTGAATAGTTTATGGTTTTTAGGAGAGGCCTACAGCTGACTTTATGGTATTCATCTCTGTGTCTTATATTTGAAACACTGTAGCACATTTTAACATCCACTATTCCTTTTCAGGTCTGCAGTTGTTTTTGTTGCATGTTGGTACACGATTCTGTTTATTTTTGGAATGAGTTCACTTCTGGTACAGCAGCTTCTGTTCATCAGTTTCAACATAACTGGTGATGAATGGAGAAGATCTTTGAGAAAGAAGTCATTTTGGGAAGTCCTGTGGACACATCAATATAACAAGGGATTCCTAAGAAACTGGATAGTATTTCTGTTCTCCAAAGATATTAGAGCTGGAATTGCTGAAGAAGTGGTTTAGGTGGATCAATGTTTGGAATAGCTTTCCTTTTTAAAAAAAATTTTGTGTCCTTGTGTAGATGAACCCAAATTCATTAGTTTTGGTAGCTAGACAGTAAAAGTTTTGTAGCCAGCAAAATATGTCATGGTTTTTTACAGCCTCAAGACTGCATTGAAATTTGTATATTTATATTTTAAATTATTTCCTGTCATAGTCTTTCCCAGAAAAGTTGCTGGGCCTTTTCAGCCCAGTCAGAAACTTTGAGGGACCTATGTAATGAAGGCACTGTAAATATTTAAAAATCTAAAACTGAATACATTTGTATTAAAATGGTTTAGCAAAGTAAACTTTTTTTCTATGTTAGTTTAGTCTTATACTGAATTTTCTTGGAAATATATTATAGGTAGTTTTATTTGTGTAAAATGGTTTCTCCATAGCACTTAATATACATTGTGATTGAACAATGCACAAATCCTTTGTAAAAACTCACACAAATATATAGAAAGACAAAGTTTAGGGTGCAGTTAATAAAGTTTCAAAGTTTGATGTAATTCTTATTACTGTCGATACACAGTGATCAGGAGCAATTACTGAAAGATGTTTTGCCAGGGAAGTCCCAAGGGGTGTAAGGTTTGGACACAATTTCATTAAAAATCTGTCAACCCCTGAATTGCGAACTACATTGTGTGATGTATTGCCATCCTACTGTAGCAACGGGCAAAGGGGATGGGGCAAAAGGTGGGGGGGGGGGGGGGGGGGGGGAAAACCCCCCAGTCACCCTCTTTCTTTTTTCCTTTGCTTTTTGGGCGCCCCTTTTTTCTTCCACAGACGCTTTATAATTGGCAAAAACTTTAAGTTTTTGCCTTTCTTTGTTTTACAATTAAATAATTTTCCTTTCANCCATCCCCATAAAATGTTTCGTTTCCCATCGCCCAACCGACCCATTTTTTTGGAAAAATAATAAAATTAAAAAAAATTCCAGAATCACTTGTGAAGAAGCAAGTAATTTAATTTACAAGCACACGATCTTGTCTTATTAACACCAATTGTCTTAAATTAGCATCGATACTTCGTTTTTGTAGCCTTTTGAGACATTTGATAGTCCTGTTAATATACATCCTTTTACCATCTGATTATATCTCGCAGACTAAACGTTGATATTTAATATGCAATCATTTGTTCATTCTCTTTTTTTTTTTTTTTTCCCGACCTACCGACCCACCTTCACGAGAGGGAGGGCGATGGGAAACGAAACATTTTATGGGGATGGCCTAAGTGTCTTTACTTCGATTCATACAGACGATTCGGCCGAAAATTTTACTTCCGGTTGATGTCTGTCACTCATAATAGGGGCCGCTAGAGATTGGTGATCCTGTGGTCTGTTTACGCGGGGTCGAGGTCAATTTTTCCGGCGGGAACTCGTCATGTGCTCAACAGCGAAACATCACAAAAATGGTTTGTGCTAGTATGAACTCGTAAACGAGATATTTTGACATTTTTACATCCCTAGCGTCATGGGAAAGACTTTGGACGAGTGCTACGAGGTTTTGGGTTTGGATTTTAGCGCAACAGAAGGTATTCTACCCGATAAACGAGAGAGAATGCTGGATTTAGTGTGTGGTTTTCACACCTTTTCAGTCATCATGTAGCCGAATGCATGTTATACTAGCTATTGCAAGTTTACAGTCTTATGTTTAGAATCATGCTTTTCTCAGTTGAAAGCAGCGAATTTTCAAGGAATTCTGATCAGCAAGCGCGAAATTACTTTCATATGAAACAGACAACCTGCGAGCAAAGCAGCTGCCTTCATTTTGGCAGGGGCACCCAACGTCAATTTTCGGAAAATATCTGTTCGGAAGACGATTTGAGATCTAGAATTTTCGGAACACTTGTTGTAAAATTTCTTGCTTGCCTGCCTCTCCTAGGATTTTCGAACTACTAAAAATGGTATAATTGCCCATTTTTTAACGGATGTTTACCCTAAAAAGGTCACCTTGAAATTTCGGTAGCCTTTTTTCTGGCTGAAATTTTCGAAAAGGTAAGTTTTGATCCCTATAATTTTCGGATCATTAGACTTTCAGCTAGGAAATCAGAACAGATGAAAAATTTTTAGGGGATAAAAATATGCTTATATCTACCGTTTAAATACTAAAACACGTTTAACAATGCTGTGTTTAAGTGGTTTTGAACTATATTCTCGTTGGGTGCCCCTGTTTTGGCTCTTTAGTCTGTTAAAAGCTTATCTGTCATGAATCAAGTGAAATATCCTTCTCTTTTTCAGCTGAAATCAAGAGTGCCTACAGACAAAAAGCTCTTAAGTGTCACCCTGATAAGGTACTGTGGAATCTTTTTATTTTAAATATTATTATTTTAAGTGCCATATTATTTATCTGCAAGGGGACTAACCATTATACAACCTCCCTATGGATGAGCAGATTCCTATGACAACTCACCTTCTTGTCCAAACCCTTCCCTTTTCATGGGGAGGGGGGAATGAATGAAAATTGCTCATCCCAAGGCACTCATCAAATTGCTTTTCCATATGCTTGCAACAGCCACCCCATTTAAATCCTAAAAGATCCCTTTTAACACCAGAGCACTGGGTTCAAATTTACTCCAACCAAAAGGAGATTAAGCATATCTCACCCTCCAATATAGAGCCGATGTTGAAACTGCTCTCCCTAGTTACATGATTTACTCCATTTCTCTCCCACCTTCCCATCCCTGACATTTTATAGGCCTTCCCCCGAGCCTAGCGAGGTTCTGCAATTCACGTATCTCTAGTACTAGTAATAAGCAAAGGTTATCGAGTGGGGACAACACCCATCAAAGGTCAAAACGTTGTGGCTCCAATGCTGTGCTTTGCGTAAGTTTTACATGATAGATAGTCAAAACATGCATGATCAGATTTCAAGGAAACAAGGTCCAAATGCACATGATCAGATTGTCTTCTACGCATTCCATTCATCCTTAGTGGAAGTCCAATCAAAGGCGGCAACATATGTGCTGTGCATGCGTAATAGCAATCTGAAGAGTAGGATTGCATGGCTCCTCTTCTCACCCACAAATATTTTGTTTTTGCACTCCTGTTTTGCAATTTTCTTGGTCACCAGCAAGAAAATGTAAATGGTTGATGTTGCATTTTATGCTTTGGTCATTCTTGTGTCTGCAGAATCCAGATGATCCCTCATCAACACAGAAATTCCAAGAACTGGGACATGCATACAGGCGATTAATGGGTAAGAGTTCATATTTCATAAGGGCGTCACTAGAGAAAACCATGTGTTGTAATGCTTGAAGAACAAGGCACAACACAAAAGAGCTACTCTAATTTTAACAAGGTGAAAGTGAAGTGGCCAGGTACACTGCAGTTAAAGCTGTCAGTAGTGTAATCTGCACTGAAATGAATGTTTGTACATTCTTTTCATAAAATGGAATGGTATAATGACTCACATGTATATAGATAATTGTTTATGAGCATTTAAGGCATTGATAGACATTCTTTCATACGTGTAAACAAAATAATAATTATTGTTAATTACCGGTATTTCTTTGTATCTGCTCCATTACATGCAGCCATCAGGAGAAAGCCTAAGTGTTTTAACAGTTAGGCTTAAAAGACTCCTTGCAACCACTTGTTTGGGATGGAATATCTGTTATGATATGATATTGTACTCATAATTCAGTCATATATATCAATAAAAATGATGATGATGATGATTAGAATTCCCCTTAATAGTGTTTGTGGTGCAAATGTTAGTAAGGCCAATCAAACAACTGTTAAAGCAAATATTAAGTAAAGGGTTAGGGTTAGAATCCGAACTGGCAATAGGCAAACCATTTGGCTGTTTACAAGCATGGCCTTGGGACTACTGCATAAAAATCCATTTGGGCGGTACTTGAGCTCTGGACCAGCATCTATCCACTAGCTCGAGTATTGCGAGCAGCCAACAGTGTCAGTTGTAAGCATGTGGTATTCATGCTGTTGTTGGCAATATGTGTCCTGTATTGGTCCCTACAGGGCTTCTGATATTTCGCGCGGTCGCGGACCCGCAAAATTCAGGTATTTCCGCGAAATTCCAAAAAAAACGCGAAATACCGTGAAATCCGCCAGAAATATTTCCAAATATATGTCGGCAAAACATATTTAATACTTATCTTGGCTATTAGACCTGTTTTATTCACCCCAAAGGTATCTTATATCTTGAAACTTCGTCACTGCAACGAGTAAACAACGACCCAAAACTACCAGGCGTTTTTAGATGAACGTTGCAAAAACTGGGTACTAACCATAATGTTAATAGCTTTAGCATTCGCTCATTTCTCGAGCGAACTGTTGTGGAAAGAGCAAATGATTGTCCCTGTTAAAGAAACGTTAAAAAACGCTGGTCATATCAACACAAAATTGATCGATTTTAGCTAAATTTGCCCCCCAAAAATCCAGCGAAATCGGCTGTTTTTACTGATTGTTTCTTGGCGAAGTTTCCCCCCGAAATTTCCCGTGAAATCGGCCGATTTTTCTTAGAATTTGTCCCTGAAAATCCTTCGTAATTTGACTTTTTCCCGCTAAAATCCCGGGAAATCGGCCGATTTTTCTGCGAATTTTGACTTTTCTCCCGCAAAAATCCTGCGAAATCGGCCGATTTTTCTGCGAATTAACCCCTGAAAATCCCGCGAAATTTTGCTTTTTTTTCCGCGAAATATCAGAAGCCCTGTCCCTATGGAGGATTGTTAAAAGTTGTAAGAATGATTTTTTTTATTCAATACTTTTTAAGTGATGGCCCTCTTTTTTCTTATAATGTTTTTTTGTACTTTTCAAACTTTTATTAAATCCTGCACAGCGTTACAATACTAACGTTACATGACATTGCATGATATTACATTGCAATAAATTACAAATACATTACATTACCTTACACTATGAACTTGATGGTAAAGTAACTATACAAAAAAAGAAAAATATGTTCTAAGTAGTGTGTCTGCCCATTAATGTGTTGATTTTGTAAGTCATTGTTTACTCCAGCATTTGGAACTAAAGATCCAACATTCACTATGAATGACACTTGGTGCTTTTGTTTGCTAAGGTGAAGAAGACAGTGATGAGGAAGATGATTACGATGATGATGATGATATGGATCTCTGGAGAGATGTATGTCACAGCTTTAGACATTGTTAATTGTGCAATACTGTAGCTGGAAAGACAGCTGAGTTAAATGTCAGGGTTTGGAAAAACAACTGGGTAGGCGCCGGTTAATAAAATGTATCTGGTCAAACTCATGTTTGCATGGACACAATCCATTCTTTGTTAGTCAAATAGTGTTCAGTAATAGCACATGAAAACTAATGGACCTCTGAAAGGACAAGCCTTGTAATGGAACTATATAACAGACACTCTGAAAAAGTACTTTCCACTAAAAATAATGGCAAGACAACAAACACAACCAGCCATCCAATGTTTTAACCAAGTTAATAACCATTTTTGAGCAGATATTGTAGAGCATGGAAAAAAAATTAAATTCAGCTAATCCTTCTTTCAAGTCCTGTATTTTCTGTGGCTGCTTATGAGCCTCTCTCTCTCTCTCTATTAATTTCTTCAATACTCCTGTTAAAAACCATAACTGGCTTATCAATATTCCTCATTTCCCATGAACTGGCATTTTTTAGTCTTTGCTAGCCTCCAGAAAAAATTTGTATGGTTTTACTTCACTTTTGATAAGAAATGCATATTCCTTTGTCAGGTGCCAGAAAAAAATCTGTGAGGGTGTGCTTAAAAGTAGACTGATGAAGAGTATGCTCTAGTATAGTGTTTTTTGACAGTCCTATACACAGGGTTCGTACCATCTTGAATTCTTGAAAAGTCGTAAGTTTGCAAAGCAACTTTTCAGACCTGGAAAAAGACTGGAAAAATGGTAAAAATTCTGTTTTTTTTTTCAAAGCTACAGCAAGTGCTTAATAAGTGAATTTTTTCCCGTAGTAAAATCTCATTCAATCTTGTCCGTAGCCAAGAATTTAATCATAGAATGAGAAATTTCTTAACTCTCTTATGTCCGCATTGCGCCTTTGTTACCATACATTTCCAATACATCATGAAAAAAGCTTGGGTTCCTGCGTTTTTCAAGGTCCCTATTGATCACCTATTTGGTAACCTTGAGTCCAGAAAAATAAAGTATTATTTTTGAAAAACTCTGGAAAAAGTCTTGAATTTTGGATCCAAAAATCTGTACATGTGCAGACCCTGGTTACAAAATGTTGAAATTAGAAGATCAGGAGATGTATTTAATGCTTCTACTTAGGTGTTTTTAAAACATTGTCCTCATACAAAAAATGCACCATAAACCTTTTTTGTTGTTTTTCAGTTTTTCTTCTTTTTGTTCAGAGATGAAATCATGGCTAAAGGTAAATTAGTATCAAAAGTAGTATTATAACACTATGCAAATTAAGCTTGAGTAATGGCATTATTAATTTATAAAGGTTGATGTTATTTTATTTTGATATACAATGTAATCTCTGCCAAAAGTACCCAATCAATAGAAGACACTTGGGTACATGTACTTAGGTTCAAGGGTACATGATGCAGGGTGTGCCAAAACCTATGTCCGATTGTCTGGAACAGGTAGAAATTTAGTTCAGACATGTATACCTTTGACATGACTTTTCTGTGGGACAAGCACATTTTTAATTAGAAAAAATAAAGAAACAGCTGAAAATTGTCTTCAAATTACAGTAAAATTCATCTTAAAAGTCATAAAAGCAAACCTCGTACTTGACAAAATAAGGTTAAATATTCCTTTTAACTTCACCATCCCACAGTCATTTTCATTTGTTTTTAGGAGTTCCATTTTAGGTTTAAGTCAAAAACAATTTACAAGGGTAATAATGAGATTAAAAACATGAAATTCCTGATTGTTTTTGAGTTTTGAGTTTTGAGCTAAACTTTTTTGGACAACCAAATTTGATAATTATAGTGCTTGTCCGAAGGACAAGTGGATGGGAAAATTTTTCTCTTACTCTGTACATGTATGAGTATATCCTTTGTGAATTATTAGTATCTTCTTACTTTTGTAACTTTTAGCTGGCTCTCTGCTCATATACTCTGTCATATTATATTTTTACACCATGCAAGATGGAAAGGCACCTCATGTATTTTTCTCTTATTTATTATCAGCAGTAACTGCATGTATTTTCTTTCTTTTTTATTGTAGTTAGATGCAGATGCAAGAAATGTGGAAAGTATGTGTACCATTAATGTACCAACCTCCAAGCTAAACTTGGTCTCCTTTTGGCAACCTCAAATAATGGTTGCAACATATTTAGTATTGGTGACCAAGGAAAAAAGACAGTTTGTACAATATTACATGAAGAGTTAACAGAAATACAGTAATAATAATAATAATAATAATAATAATATTTATCCAGGGAGCCCACTCGCCTTAGCAGTGTACAGTGGGGCTGTGCAAATCAAAAATGACAAGATGACAAAATGACAAAAAAAAATCACATACTTTAAGATTGATTTACAAATATAGCTAATTTTAAAATAGTTTAACTGTTAGATAGGGCATTATTTACAAAGTCTTAAGGTGGCTCCGTAATTAATACAAGAGCATTTAGCTGTGACAAATTTTCTGTCATAACTTTTTGGTTTTTAACGCGATGGCTGCGAAACTTCGCAAAGAACAACAGATATCATTCGGCAATAATACAAAATTTTCCGATTTCATTGATGGTAAATATTTCTTGAGAAATTAGCGCTTAAAAGGACCCTACTGTTCAAAGAAAATTGCGTCTAGTAAAAAATTTTGCTGATATTTTTTACTGAAATTTCTGGAATCGGCTTTAATTGATATAATATATATGCCAGAGGAATTTCAGAAAAATTGTTGGAGCAGAAGTCCGTAACTAAAAGTCGCTCAAAATTCAGCTGTGAAATTGTTTTGGAATTTCAAAAATAAATTACTATCAGGTAGAAGGAGCCACCAGTTTGAATTTTTGGGACAAGTAAATTCAACGTTTGCTAATTCTTAAAACAAGAGCCGATTGCCTATCGTACTATTCTTTAAAAGGTACTTTTTAGTTTTAGAGGCACTATAAATTGCTCCAAACCTTGCTCTGAAGTAGAATGACTTGTTCTTCGACATTTTTAAAGTATCCCCTGGCAGTTTTGGCTCAAACTCCTGCTGCATACATTTTGATGTATTGCAATGCATTTTCAACGACTTTTGCTGCTGTTAGTTGCTTCCAACTCAGGAAAAAAGTATTGACATTGGACGCTACCTCGCATCAGAGCTCAGATAGAACTGTCCAGCACCTTTGTTTATGACTACAAAATGAGCACGGGCGGCGGTTCTGCGAGGAATTCGCACCTCAACCAGGGGGGACGAATGGCAATGATCCCCATGTCTGTGAACCGATCTGTATAAACATGTATTGTAGAGCAAAACATAATAATCAAGAAAAAAATACCCATTCATTGAAGGAAGGAGTGACCAAAATTTCAGAGTTGTAAATTTAATCACAGGCAGTATTTTTGCGATAATTTTATTTTGCACTGTGATGTTATTCGGTTCACAGGCATTGTCATCAAACTCAGATAACTCAAATTCTTGTTGATTACTTTCTACCATCAGAAAATTTAAATATAGTTAATGTAACATTTTTTGTCTGAATTGTTCCCTTTTTAGTGGAGGTGATGAGGATGATGATTTTCTAGCCTCGTTAGCAAAGGTACATTTAAGTTCTAATTGATGAAATCACTGTCGTATTGTCAGGGTATTATGGTAAGTTGAGTAAAGATTTTTAAAAAAGTATTATTAGAAAGAACTTTAGAATGTTTAAACCAAAAATCACATTACCTTAGTTACCAGTACCTCATTCTCCCTATTTGCACCTTGGTTTACAGAGAAAGAGTTGGCCATTGTTCCTCAGTTGAAGAAACCAGCTCATAGACCAGACCACATTTTTCAGCTGTACAGGCTAAAGGTTGCAACACACTAGGCAATGAGTTGCTGCAACATGTCGTGGTGACAAATCACTCTGTTTGTAGAGGTCAGGCGATAAGTTGCTGCAACAAGTTATGCAACAAGTTGCAGCGACAAATCGCTTCGTGTGTACTGGAGAATTTTTGTGCTAATCTTGGTCTCTGTTGCGAAGTCAAATAGCTTCGCAAAAATTCTCCAGTAAACATGAAGCGATTTGTCACCCCAACGCCTGTCACCTAGTGTGTTCTGAGCTTAACAGTACAATATGTCCCTCCTCAGCAATTTTTTTGCAATGTAGGTTGCTGATCCTCAAATATCTTAAATTGTTGCTCTGTATTGATTTATCATTGTAGGAGCAAGAAGAGAAGTATCAGTTCACAGAAGAAGAGGTATTTAGTCATGCTTACCTGGACATAAAAAACAGGAGCATTATTTTTGTGGCAAAGTATTTAGCACAAAGAACTTGTTGCAGGGCAGTCCCTGCAAGGGTCAAGGACCAGGAATTTCCCCTGGCTAGCATGAGCATGTCTCCTGGCTATTTTCAGAGGAAACATAGGGGAAATAAAACCAAAAGAATTTTCTAGCTTTTCAAATCTTAGTGACAGTCATTGAGCAAACTGTTTTTACTTCCCATCCTGGCCATGGAGGCAAGATGGCCATTTCCACTGGTGACCTAAGCCATTTGCAGGTAGCCTGTGAACAGGCTCTCTGTTTGGGGAAAAATAGCGAGGAAAGTGAAGGGAAAGGGGGGGGAGAGAGCCTGTAGACAAACATTTGAGGCCACTATTCCGCCTCTTGTAATTATCCTGCCGATCATCTGTCAGTAAGATCGTTATCGGTCAATCAATTTCGCGCATGAGTAACTCCTGGGAAAATTAACAGGAAATGAGTGGTGTTTTGCTCTGTCTGAAAAATGGAGCATGAACCTCATTGTTGATTTTGCAAAAAGTCGTTGATCTCCGGTAAGAGGATTAATAAGCCATTCGTCTTGCTAGTTCGGTTTGTAATTTAACAAGCCACTGCAATGAGCGAACTTGGAATGCGGAAGGTACGGATACTATCATGACTTCTCCAGAACGTGAAGCTTCGAAGACAAGTACAAAGAGATCAGCAGCGCTTCGATCGCCGACAGGAATTACATGGTAGGCTGACACGACTTTTAGTTTATGCCAAAATGCTGCTTGTTCCCATAAGTTTTTTCCTCTGCGGGGTAGATTATTATCTGGAAGGTTCTACATTGTCACTGAGCAAATGTGATTTTAGCCGCTTGTTTCACACTGAGAGGTCATGGCATACATATCGATTTACTGCGGTTTTTGTTTCTGGTCGACAGGATTTGCCCTCTGATGTAAAAGCATTTTCTTTGACCTCTTTTGAAGCGTAAAGCTTTTTATTGCGGCTGAATAAGGGTCTTTTCTCCAAAGTGCCTTCTCGATCTGAATAACTAAGCGATTTTCTTTAGTCCGTAAATGTAATGTTTTTCTGCAATGTTGTATTCTAATGCTGGGCCCAGCTCGTCAGTGTTTAAAAAGATGGTTATTTATAAGATTGAAATGCAGCTTAAACCCAAGCAACATCAGCCATGGAGAATAAATTGCATTGTGCTTTGGTAACTATAAACTCCAGCTTAGTGTTCTTTTAAAGACAGTTTGAGTCTTTTGACCAGAGTGCGTAGTTCCTCCCCGTGGTAATAGTCTTTGGACTATTTTGTTATTGCCACTCTGTGATCAAATCGCGTGCTATGTGCCGACCGAAAAGCCGATGTCAATCAGACCTGTCAACAATTAGTGTTCTCGCCAATAGGAGCTTGCATCTGGATCTGATGCACAGCGGGTGCCGTGGAATGGCGGCCCCAAAGGTCTGTCCACAGGCCTTTTTCGCTTCTCCCTCTCCCCACCCCGCTCGACTAAAGGCCTGTTCACGGGCTATTTGCAGGGTAAAGGCGATTCTGTTCGTCTTCCTTCCTCATTTTAAGATCTTGGGTATTGGTCCAGCCCAATGACTTCCCACTCTGCAGAAAACAGTGCCACTCGTTGGCTTTTATTTACATAGTCACATGTTGGGCAGCGTATCAGTTAATTTTTTCAAGGGGGGAGTCATATAGACCATCTGAAGGGTCACCAAGACCAATGCTAATTTTTTTTTGTTACATTTAAATTATCACTTATGTGTCATCCGTCAGGTCAGGAAGTCTTCTTTGTCAGGTCATTGACCCAAGATGGAACACTGGCTGGGGCATTATCATTTGTTACAATTTTATGTATACCATAAGATTGTACCTTTGGATATGGCAATTGTAAATAATATGAGCTGTGTGACAACACTTCAAAGTTATGTCAGTTTATAATATATCATTTTTTCCAAGATTGTGTCTCACCAAAAAATGCAAACAGTTGAAGAAGAACATGCCCTTACCATCTATAGCAATTAATTTGATCAAGTATTATCAGATATGTCATCCTTAAAATCCCTGTGAGTTGTAAAGTTTGTTTCTCTTGCAATCCTAAGATTTTTGGTGTGGTTTCTTTCTTTTTTCCACAGATGGCCCAATTCACAAGTTTTGCAAGTCTCAAAGAACAAAGAGAGGCAAACAAACGAAAATTTTGTAATGTGAGTAACAACAGGTCATCAAAAACTCTTTACTTGTATAAACAAGCGCCTATAACCTCATTTGTCATTACAACATTTTATTTGATTTTCTTCACAGAAGAACCTATCTAGCCACAAACCTGAACAGAAATCAGATAAGGGGAACAAGGTAAGATTTCTTGCAGTTCCTGGCTTTGTTTTTTAAACAGTGTAGAGATGTGAGATACAGCAGACCTTCAAAATGCTTCTGCTTTTTACTTTTGGCCAAAAGCTTTCTTTGTAGGCTTTTACTCTTCCCCTTCCTACCTTTTACCTTCCTTTGTAATCATTCATTCCACACACTGGTTCAGGGGTTTTTCAGTGGCAATTTTGACAGGCCCTGTGAGGTCAGCTATGGTTGGTTGCCATAACAACCTCTTGGTTGCTGAGGAGATTGTTTCCTTCCTTTGACGCTACCTTTATGGTACATTACCTCTAGTTCTTCAGTTGACTTAGAGTTTAATGGTGCTCTTTTTTTCAAAACATTTTCATTACACTGCAGAACGATCCCCATTGATACCAGCCTGTTGCATAGGGGTTGCCAGGTTAGCCACAGATAATTTTTAAAGATGATCTCGCGGCCAGTCTTTTATACGTTGTGGAGTACAGTACTGGTAGGGATGCAACCTTGACCCAACAAACATCTGTAAGGAGTGAGTCAGTACCAATTTCATTCCAGGTAATCTCAGGCTCTCAATATTCCCTTTCAGCCAAAGCTAAAGAGCAACAAACAGCTGAAACGTGAACAGTGGAAAAAAGAAAAGGTAAGAGACATTCTTTTTCTATGTTCCTTATGTTGCTGCTTGAATTTAATGATCCATTATTCAACTTAATTTTTTTTTCTGCTCTGTATTCATTTATTTACCTGTTGTTTTCTATTTTCCTTTTCTTGTTTGTAGGAAATATCTGAAATAGCAGCTCAAATTAATCAAAATCCAAAGCAACAAGAAAAAAAGGTATGTTGTGCGGCTTTGACATGAACCATAGGGACCCCTACTTACTGCTGCTGAGTTCACCATTTTCGTCAAATTTTCCACCTTCTAAGGGGCCCCTCTTCACATCTCATGTTCACCAAACCCTTGAGAATTTTCATGTTATATGCCGTTTTTGCCACATTCCCTTGGTTATCACCTTTTCCCATGTTGATTGCAAAAATTTGTCAATTTCACTGTTTTTGTCATTTTGTGCGTTTTTGTGATGGCCAGGTAAACTATTTGTTTCTTGAACAGGCTCTCCTCATGCTGTTGAACCCTACTGGAAGAGACTAAGACATAGAGCCTTTGAGTCCATTACAAGATTGTCAACTTTCTGTGATTTATCTCAAGTGTTACATTTGACCCCCAGTTATTTGTAAAACAATTTTGGAGAAAAAATTGACCAAATGTTAAAACCACCAAAAGATGAAAAGCATTGGTTTTTTTTTATCTGTTGAGTTAACAAGATCTTTCTCCAAACTCTTTCAATTTGTTGTTTCATCACAGGTATTCAAGAAGAAAGACCATTACCTAGATAAAAGGTAAATAATCCAGTCATCATAAAACTATTTCTGAGTTTGAAAAATTCCCACTTTCTAATAAATGTTATTTGTTTTGAACATGAAGCTTGGGAGAAAGGGCCTGTTGGTCAATCTCAAAGTATTTATTTATTCATTCATATATTTTGTTTAGATTTACCGTTGATTTTACTGAAGTGTTACTCTTTTTCACAGCTCCAATCAACCTCTGACTTTGGAGACAGACACTACTAAAGAACAGACAGATCAGGCTTCTTGTAATAAGAGGAATACAAGGAAGAAAAGAAACCGAAAAGTAAGACTGCTTCAGTAATAAGGGTTCTACAAGTTGTTACCTTTCTCACAGTAGGGTTATGTTACCCATATGTTTCATGTATTCCTTCTGAGAAGTGGAATATGCCACACGCGTGTCCACATAATGTTACTTGAAATGAGACTTTTATAAATGGAGGTCAACACAAGTGTATAACCTGACATTTTTTTTAAACATCTAAATCAGAATAAAAGTTAAGTGTATAGCATTGAGGGGCCTGCCAAATCCTAAATAGTTACTATTTTTTCTCTTTAGAAATCAAGGAAACAGGAAAACCAAGAAACAGACTCTAACCAGGAAAGAAGTAACAGTTTCAGAACCACTTTCCAACAGAGAGTAGCCTCCAGCTCAGTAACCCAAAATGGCATCAAAAAAGTCCCTCTTAAACCAGAGACCACCAAGAGACAAGATAATGTAACACTGCCACATCACACTAATTATGCTCAACAAAAAATGAAGCCATCCTGCAATCACAGAAATTTACCAGAATTGGGAAATAACTCAGCCATATGCCCCAAGTGGGTAGGTCTTGGGTATTAAACATATTTGATAAATATGAGCCATCTTATAAGTTGCTCATACTAGGAAGTAAAGTTATCCAAAAAAGAGTGAAAAGGAAAAATCGAGATAAAGCCTCAACTTCTAAACCAGGGTCCCATGAATGACCTACTCAAGTATTCTGAACGTTTTCAGCTGATCAAGCAACCAACCAAATTCCCGAATCATCACGTAACTCTTGTTTGACTATTTTGTAATTTACACTGAAGTTTTAAATGGAGAGAAATACTTAAGTATATTTGAAGCATGAGATAGTGTTGTTTACCCAAGAGTGAACAAGGGGCAACAAGAAAAAAGGGAAAATGATATGAAACAGGAATGCTTCTGGCTTAAACGAGTTCAGACTTCGTATCAGTCATTTTCTTAATTTTTAATTCTTTTCAATCAAATAACCTGTTCCAGGCGTTCAGATAGTAGAGCGCGGGAGAAAAATTCACGAAAAGAAAAGGATGGGAGACTAGAGAGGGAAAGGGTGAGAGAACTCTCGCTCTCACTCTCCCCCCCGTTTTGCCGGTGTACAATTTAACTCGCTCCCCACTGACCACCGCGCTCTACTATCGGAACGCCTGGGACAGGCTATCAATCAAAGAACTGGGATGCTTGGTTGACAATTGTTATTTTTATTAATTTTGCAATATCTGCTTTTGTATTGCAGCCTGAGAGAGGGTCGTTTCAAAGTCCCAGAACAGTGACTACAGACTCAAGAGCACCTTGTGCATCAAACATTTGGCAAAAGAGACAGGAAAAACAGCAGTTCCTGGCCGAACTTCAACCTGCTACTCAAACAGATGAGGAGCTGCAACTACAAATTGCTTTAGAACTGAGTAAAAAGCAAGCAGAAATTGATGCACAGCAAAGGTAGAGATCAAAATTTCTGGAAAACCCAAATACAGTTAAACCTCCCGTAAGCAACCACTCAAAATGCCAGGATGTAGTGGTCGCTTATAGGTGGTGGTTGCGTACGAGAATCAACCCAGAGGTGATCTGAGAAGAGTTCACGACACATCTACATTTGGGAGGGAAATTTATTGCATGCAATTTCTAAGTTAAAATGTGTACACTTCCATGTTATCACTCAATGTTCCTGAAATACCCTGAGTGGTGAAAAAAATACTGTGAACAAAGATATCACACCATGCATTAAGCGGTTGCAAACAATTGAAATTATAAAACCATAAGCCCAAAGAGTGATCGCGGTCGCTTAGGAGAGGTGGTCGTTTACGAGAGTTTTTAATATTATATCGTGGGGCTTTGACTGGGAAAATGGTGGTATTTTGGATAAATTGTTACTTATAGGAGGTAGTCGCTTATGAGAGGTGGTCGCACATGGAGGTTCGACTGTATTGTGAGAAATAGGCAGCAGTGGTTACAATAACTGAAGCATTTCTAAAAAACTTTGTAATTGTTCTGACCATCTAGACTTACTAACAACATAGCAAAGGGATTAGAAAATGCATTGATGCCATACCTTTTGCACATTGTGTGCCTCATATACTCTCTCTCACTATTCCCTCCTCCCTCCTCCCTCCTCTCAAGAAGGATTAAGCAAGTTAAAAATAAAAATAGTTGTTGCATTGAAAGTAGTCGAAATATACGAACAAACTTGACTTACCTGTTTCTTCTTTTCTTGGCAGAGAAATCAGCATCTTGGAGAAACAAGTGGAGGAAACACTTCAAATTGGAAAGAGTGCTCAACTGGAGGCTGTTGGCAATGGTGTTTCCAGTGATCCTGGCAGTTATCCACCTGCAGGGGATTCCCTTGGGAGTGAGCAAGAATGTGATGTGGTGGACCCTTTGGAGATGGAGGAAAACTGTGACGCAGAAGAAGAGTGGGTTGTGGCTTCAGCTAGTGAAGAAGAGTGGAGTGATACTGATAAGGACGATAATGAGGCTGATAAAATGGTGCCAATAACCGATGAAGATGAATGGGACAACTCTGGTCTTGGTGAAGTCGAAGGGGCTAAGGGCTGCCAGAACTCTTACAGTGACCCTGATGAGAAACACCGCGATAAATTGCCTGCCAGCAGCTGTGACTTTGGTGGAAGAGATAATATAACACTGCATAACTCAGCCATGCAGTTGTCTGGGTATTCTGCAGATGACGGCCTACAAGCTTGTCCTTTTGGGAAGAATTGTTGCCTGGGAAAGCGGTGCAAGCACTCTCATCCTGTGTCCGTTGACAAGAGGAAGAGACAAAAATCATTTATCGACGGGTTTGTAACTCAGGATGAGCATGACTCTACCAGAAGTGGGAAAAAGGATGATGATAACAATGACATGCATAACTTTGAGGAAAAACATGACATTTCGCGTGGTGTGTCTGGTAAAGAGCTACCAGTGTCTGCTTTCTCTGATGTCAATTATTCTGCAATCAGCAGTGGGCGTTCATTCAGCACGGCAAAATCTGACCCTAGCGATTCCGCCCCAAACGACCTTGTGAAAGTTATAGAACCAGAAGTATCTGCGATGCAACTCCGTGAAAGTTCCAACCAGCCTTTACCAGTTACCTCCAAACTTGAAAACATCAGCCCATCTTTGATGAACAATATTATGCCTGGCTTGAAGTCCTATGAAGATGGGCCATTACCAACTCATCTCTTCGGGTTTTACTCGTCACGATATTTGTCACTGCCAATACCTTCTCACCTTGCGCAGTTTTTACGACGTTCGCAGGTCCTTTTTCTACGACGGCAAAGAGCACGTCTACAACCCTTAAGAGGTGGAGTTGCAACCTTCCCATCTGCAGGTGCAGTGAGACAGTCGGCCACTACTATACCACATGTTGGCAATTTATCAGCTGATGTGAAAGTTCAAAATTCAGCATATCGTACCAATCAGCCCATTAACTACGTCAAGCCACTTCCAAGCTCCTTGCCAGTGGGCTTCTCTGCTCCTTTCTCTCAAAGTACTGGACAAACTGAATTGTTTTCTGCACATACACATGAACTACCGCAGAACACAGCAGTTCCATGTGCTGGTGGTGATGTACCACCAAACTCGGGAACCGGTCATCAGTCGTCCTCTGTGGAGTCCAGGCCTTTAACCCAGCAGCCCATGGCTGTGAATAATTACCCAGCAATGCCAGGTTTCCCATTATTCCCTCTCGGAAATCTTCCATTTCTCAATACTGCAAATGTTGCTTTACTTAATCAGAGTCTACTGGCAATGGCATCTTTAGGTAGAATGCCCCTTCCAATAATTCCTGGACCCTCTAGTGGTGTGCAGAACTCGCCACAAGGAAGAGGGAATGCTATGTACCCAGGAATGCCATTGTCATATAGTATGAAAACCATTGATGGCAGTGGCGTAACAACAAAAGTTGGCACTCTGCCCACTTCTTCACTCATTGGTCAGTCAGGAGCACCAGCGGTAGATAATGCGTCGGGAATGGGACTTCCGCCGCTGCAGTCATCCCAAGCAGGAGTTGTCACCAGTGGCAGTTCTCAAGCAATGCCACAGCTAAATGGGCTATCCGGACTTCCGCTTGCAGCAGCCATGCAAGCATCAGGGTATCCACTGCAGCCTTCACGGTTAGGCCCTCCAAACAGTTCTCAGTCTACAGTACAAGCCATGCCACAGGTTGGTAGGTCTGCAGGAATTTCTTTGGGAATACCCATGTCAGGGGCAGCAGTGCAGCCCTCGCAATGCCTAACCAACACCAGTTCGTTATCTTCGACGGGTTCCATGCCACCACTACAAGTAAATGCTTTAACAGGAATGCCAAACGTGTTCGGTGCAAGCCTTGCCGCTATTCCTCAATCCTCTGCGCTAGATACGTCACAGCTGCTTGGATTACCGTTACCTTTCCTCAACTCACAAGCACTCCTTAACATGAACGCACAGATGGCCTCTTTGGGGGTGCCATTGGTAAACCCTTTGGTAAACCCTTTGAATGACAGTCAGACAACATTGAAATTACAGTCTGGGCTGGTAGCGTCGCAGATTCAAGCCAATGGAGATGATTACAAAGTGAATACAGTGAAACAACCTGGCTCTGAGGCACAAACACCAGCGGAGCCGAGGATTGAAGAAGGAAGAGAATGTAGTGGTATTAGGCCCAAAGCTCCATCCTTGAGAAGGCCATCTACAGGTAATTCTGAATGATTGACAAAACGTATAGAGCATGTAGTGTTAGATTTTTTGCGTACTATCATGTATTAGACATAAACTCCCTAGTGATCCAACAAAAACGGCAACAAGACCAATTGTAAGTACCGGTATTTTTGGATTTTAACGTCTCGTTCACGAGACAGCCTTCACTACATTGTGCAACCCCCCCCCCCCATCCTCCATCCCTTATCAAATCCAGCGTCAGCATAGATAATTCTACCTGACATATCAGAATTTTTCAAGAAATGGGCAGTCCAGGCCAGGTAGGGCTGAAGGTGCCCCTGACTGAAATTTCAGCAGAATTTAATTTTTGAGCTTTTGTCCCTGTTTGCTTGGCGTCTCGCCAGCCACATAACACTGGTCATTGTTAAGCTTTCGCGACAGACTGTGTCAATGTTGTACCGAATTGCACTATGGCCCTATTTAAGGTGCGCCCAGGAAACGGCGGCAAAAGCCCCATAGTGCAGTTCGACACGACAACGACCCAGTCTCCAGGGAAGACCTTAGATAACAATGACCTCAACCTGGTTGTTGCGTCCAAGGGGTGCTCAGTCTCGCGGGCTCATAAAACCTGGTCTCGGTCGTTCTTATTTAAAGATTTTAAGTCTCAAGCGCCTTCTGAAAATGGCCTTTTCTCTTCTGTATCTTTGACTTAGTTCAGCTTATTGTGCCACGTATCTGAAAGGTCGTCAACTTTATTCCTTTGTTAAATTTAATACGGAAGTACTAAATTTTCCCTCTACATTAGATTAGTAAGTATGGCATGATAGTCCTTGCATGCAGTACTACCTTAACCGACGTTTCACATTTTCAACATTAACAAGTTCTATATGGTATTCAAAAATAGGTTCTTTTTTCTTATTTTTGGCAGTACCTAAAGTTATCCAACATCAGACATTAAAGTAAATGAGGCTGCCTACACCAGCTGTGCTGTTGCCAAGATGCCGTGTTTCTATGAGAAAGGGACGAGCATCATTTCTGCATTTCAACGGAGCCTATCGCGTATTATTAGACAATTTTAAGTGGCAGTAGCCTTTCATCCATTCATCTTGTTAGATTCTATTCTTTAAATTTGGACATCCACATCTAGAAACTAGAGAACGTCATTGGCTCAGTTCTTAGTTCTTCTCAACATTCATTGATCGCTGGTTGAATGTAGGCTGTTCAACGTTTGTTTTCTTCTGCCCGAAAGATTTCATTCGCAATTTAATAACAAAGCAGTTCGCCAAAAAAAACCCCGAAAAAAACGGCTCAGTAAGGTCTTTGTGTACCCATCCCCTTTTTTAAGTTTTCAGTCTCCACTGAATTTGCATTCTACTCATTTAATGCCGGGTTTTGTGAAGTTTTTTTAATTTACTTCCATCTATGGGATCGCGAATATTTTTGATATTATTTTATGAATTCATTTATTATTATTTTTGTTTTTGTTCAAGAAAATAAAGCTTTTTTCCCACCTTAGGGCATTTTTGGGAAATCCAGGGAGCCGTTAAACTGAAGCGCGTTTTGGAATATATTATTTATATTGAAGTCAGTGTAAATTTAAAAGTTACGTTTTACGTCTCAAAAATTATCCCGGGAAGTGATTCAAAGAAACGACTATTAATATTTCAGAGGAGATTTTCCTAATTTGAAGTGACCAAAACACGTTCCCAAAAAGATGTTACGATATGAAGATATTTATTGTTCATGTTGGAAAATTATGTTTTGCAAAATAAATAAAGATATTTATAAAAGTATTTGTATTAAGAATAAGACAGCCTGCGAATGCAGCTACGTTCACAGGTAATTATTAAGTTCAAGAGTATTGATTCGTGCAACGGTTTATTTTTAAAGCGGTAAAAGTCATATGTTTGCCAGGTTTCAGTTAGAGTTTCAGTTGTTTCATTAGAACTGCGACTTTGTTGCAATTAACGACATCTTAGGAGACATATGCCTAGATTATATATAAACAAGTTCAGAACGAATAGATACATTAAGGAAATTTTTGTGAAGATGAAAATAAACTTATTTCAATTTTCCTTTTACAGTGTACGCGTAGTCTTGAAAAGTCCTTGAATTTTAGGGTGACTCCTTGTAAAGTCCTTGAATTTCATTTTTTCTCGAAAAGTCCTTGAATTTTCTTCAACTTTGAAAGTAGTGGCCTGGAAAGTGTTTTTTTAATGCTTTTTGTTTGCCCAGGAGAGAATATAAATCATAGCCCAGGGAAAATGTAGAGAAACTGGTGGAGCAAACAGTTCAAGCCTTAATGTCCTGTTACCATGTAGTGGGAATGTGCATTTAAGTACAAATCTGTCACTTCACTCCTGGTAGGTTTTCTTGAAAATGGAATGAGGTCCTTGAACAGTCCTTGAAAAATGGTTGCAATTTTTTGTATGAACCCTGTTTTATGTGGGGGTGGCCTCGTTTTTACTGCTCGAATCGCATAACCATCTTTACCTAGCTTCCCGCCGGCCTACAGCCTGCGTAGCTGGCGGGTTTTTTGGCGTGTTTTTTGTGGTTCGTAAGCGGCTCGGAAAGTAAGGGTTGATTTCCACTGTCGCGTTATTTTTCCGTGCGAACGCACGTGAGATTTACGCGCATAAATGAAATAGAGGCAATACATGTATGAAAGACCACACGTAACCGTGAAAGTTGAGCGAGGTTCAACTTTTACGTCTAAACATGAGCTGTCTCTATTTTATTTACGCTCGTATGCACGTAAAAACGTTGGAATCCACTTTAAGGGATACGGCCCCGCAGTAGCTGAGCCGATGTCGAACCTGAAAGCCATGGGGAGGGGAGGGGCAATGAAAAATGTATGTTAAGGGTAACCTGCTCACCGTGAAAACTTTGACCATGGATTTGACGCAGCCACTTAATGAATAATGAGAAAAGTTTCCCGCCCTTGAGTTAATAAATCTCTCGAACAGCGCATGTGCGGGCCGGAGCTGAAAAATTCATTCTCGACCCAAGAGCTCAGTTCTCTATTGCGCATGATTACAGACCCGGGTCGGGATGAGTTTCCCTCTAAAGTTAGAAGGAAACTGATCCGAGTTAGCTTTCGCAAAGAATTCTGCAACGGTTACTGGGGACAGGGGAGACACATTGGCCACAACCTGAATGGCGCCTCCCAAGTTACGATTTAAGAGAGGGAAAATGTTCTGCGCATTCCTTATCGCAGGCTCAAGGCGGGCTTTTCTGTGTGTTGACTGTGTTCGACTGTGTTTGTTTGTCACTGAGAGAGTTCTGACTGAGACTGAATGAAATGCACAAGGTGCGACCGTTTGCTTCTCGAAAAGCCTTTTTACCTTTGTGTGCAACTTTTGAAAACAAATTGCTTGTCCTTTCGAGGTTAAGAGTGGAAACGCTTTATTATTATAAGTCAAAAAAAAATTTGAAATCCCGCCATTTTTTCAAACCCGGCCTACATACCCTGCGAGCAGAGGCTTCATCTTCGCTGTGTAAGCTGTCGTGCGGAAAGTAGCCTCTGCCGACAACCGTTCGAATCCGTTCAGAAATCTGGACGAATAAATTAAAAAACGGGTTTTTTCCAGTTCTTGACCGGTTTAGAGCATTGCGTGAGTCTTGCGAGAGTCTTGCGCAGCAGATCAGAATTGTCGCAATTTTTTTAATTCCCCCGAAACTCGCTCCATTTGACGACAGACCTCACGATTAATTTTGCTTGCGAATCGCGTGACGAATTTCGTGCATGCACAATACAAAATTGAACGGTTTTCACACGCCAACTCACCAAGCGAAAATGTAGCCTCTGCTCGCAGGGTAAACCCGGCCAGGGGATCAAGGGGATCTGGGCCAAAAAAGATCACGCATGCTCATTACGTTTTTCCGCCCTGAAAGTTACGATCCAAGAAGCCTTTGCGAAAGCTAACTCGGCCCAGTTTCCTTCTCGTACTTAAAGTGGCAACTGGATGTTGGTCCCTGGACGTAAAAGACAGCTGGATTTCAGACCCGCGGATGTAAGACCCCTGGATTTATGACCCCTTTACGTAGGACTCCTGGATCTAAAACCCCTAACTGAATAACCCCTGACTGTAAGACCCCCAGACGTAAGACTGCTAAATGTAGGACCCTTCTACGTAAGACCCCTGGATTCACGGTAATACCCCTGGATGCAAGACCCCTGAATTTAAGACCCGTGGATATAAGATCCCTGGATTTAAGAATCCTTTGATGTAAGATCTTCAGATCTAAGACCCTTGGGTGTGCGAACTCCTGGGGTAAGTCAGTAGTAGCTATATAAGAGCGGAAATTTACATAAGGGAATATTTAATTTTTTTTACAGTATTTTATATATCTGCTGTTAGTAATGATACGAAACTTGCCTCGATAAGTGATTTCTGATTGGTGAGTGATCTTTCTAGACGGAAAATCCTTGTTTCCCCTACGAACAGGTCCTGTGGCAAGCCAGCCCAAACCGATATGATTTACGGTGTGATTTAACCCATTCACTCCTGGAGATTTTGCCGCAAAACGTGTTTTGAAGGTACTCGAGTGGTTTTCTGGTTACTGTCCCGCTATAAAGAGCTAAAACTTACCACAAACCGGTTTACAGGTCGTACACTTCACGGCCTTCTGATCCAGATGCAAAATATCAGCTTGCGAAGTTCGGGCATGCGCAGAAAGCAAAATGACTTTTCGCTTTCTCTCCTCCCCTCTTTTTTCGCTTTTCTTGCCTCATTTTTTTTTCTCTTGCTGGGCATTTAGTAGGCTTCATTTCGGTGGGAATAGTTTTTAGGAAAGCTTTTAGGATCTTAGGATTAGGTGAAAGGAAAGGTAGGTGAGCAATGGAACAAGATTTTCATGGAGATTTTCAGGTCAATGTTACATGGTTTTTTGCCTCTTTCTCCGGTGTCCTTGACTGAATTGTGCTCATTCTGGTATGGTTTGAAAGATCTCTTCACTTTGCACAAGTTAGCAAACAAAGTTGTCCGTGACCGTTAAAACTGATGACGTCAAAAAGGGTAGAAAGGACGTGGATCCGCACGGGCGGTTACGGGCGGTTCAGGGGCGAGTGGGTTAAAGTATGCCACGAGGATATCTCCCAAAATGGGACTGTCATAGACTATAAGCCGCGTAATACGTCTTTTGGTTTCTCATTATCCAAAATTCCAGTCGTCCCTCTCAAGCCTTATTGTGTGATTCGAGGGGAGAAACTATACCCCGTAACAGTAATTAGCAGTAACCAACAAGGCATTTGAAATATGCAGAAATTTTAGCTATTGTTGTTCACGAAATTAAAATATGAAACTTGGAGACAATACCCTGAATATTGAGAGGCTCTCACTTGTAAACACGAAATATCGGACAAAAATTGACGAACTAAAGCTTTTATTTTACTTTGTTATTTTACTAGTTATCAATGATCTTACTTGAAACTCAAAGGTCATATAACACAGCGGTTATTCTTGAGAATATCCAATCTTGAAAAAATCTATCCAGCGGTTTCAAAATTATTTGCTTATTTGTTTAAGTAAACCAAAATCTTTACAAAAACTCGATGCATACTAATTAAATCCTTTTTTTCTAGCAATCGGCTGGAGCTATCTCCATGATCTTTTAAACACGTTTTTAAAAATATTGAAACTTCTGAAATTGCATTTCAAAAGCGCTTTGTTTTCTGTAGATAACGGCCGAACATCAAGACTGTCCAAGTTTCAAAAACTTCATCCCACAATATCTCGATAACGCCCACATAGGTTTCGCGGCTTTTGGACGAAAAATCTCTCTCAAACTTCGTAGGTACCCACCCTGAAAAACCCTATCGAGCCACCCTTCGCTGACTTACTTCCTACCCCACCCCACCCACCTGCCACTGATTACCGCGTATCATGGAGAGCTGGGACCTAAAGTGACGATGTTTGTAAACTGAAACTGATGAAATGAAAAACATGGCGGGCCCTGTTATGGATATTGCTTGTGCTACGTATGAAGGAGTTTCTTTTGA